TGTGAAAACTAATTGCGCAGTTTTTGTGACGTTTTCCTTTTCACCAAAAGATACGTTATTAGCCATTTATTTTGTAGTAGGAACATCTAGCTTCGTTATTCACAAAATTATTTGTACTTACGATAAATTGTGTTTAAGTTATCACAACTTACCCATTCTCGCTTATCAGTTTTTTCACCAAGGTACTCCTGGTCAGTGGTCCACAACAAAATGGGTGAAGGTGGATAGAGAATGTATAGAGAATATACATACTCATGTTAAGGTGTAAGGTGTATTTTTCTCTCCAGCTTTCAGCTGCCATAAAAATCAAGACAGTAGCTATAATTTTCACTGACAATATATTTTCCAATTACATATTGTACTTGCCAAAATTACACCTGCTCTGAAAGCTACAAATATTACTTACCATTCAAAAACATCATATTGCTATACATATATCGTCTTCTTAAATGACTTCTATGGCACATTGCTCAATCAACGTCACTCCCAATGACACACTTTACCCTGAAGGAGATCAAACAATAGTACATAAAAACCTTTTGTCTTTTTATTGTCACATCCTTGATGATAATGAGAGAATAGTATATGCATCATACATCTATTGGTAATTGTGAAAAACAGCTCCTTGAGAAACCCTATCAATTGGCTGTCGGCCAGAAAATAACCATCAGGTTATCAATTAGCAAAAGACCCATGATTCCTTTCCGTCTTGGAATGACTTGTCACTTATCACCTGATGACAACCTTTTTTGAAATAGGTGTATGCCCTTGGCCAGACTTGAGCTCACTATTTCAGTATACAATTCCGACACCCGTAGTATCACTACATTTGATCCCAAGGATCCAATACCATCCAGGTATCCCAGTTACGCTGCTCACAGGGTCTAGTTCCTAGGAATAAAGGATTGAATTCGACGTAATCTTTATGCAACTTTTTATCTCGGCTCAGCGCAAAATTCCGACTTCTTTCCCAGGATATTTTTATCCAGACTGAATAAAATAGGGTAGAAGAGCATGGAGCATAAAAACATGTTGTGGTTTCGGCGAACTTCTAGAATAGCCGGCCGACAAATTGCGTGCATTTTCGAAAATTCGATCTAACAATGCACACGAAGCGGTCTAAAAAATAAACGAAACTTATAAGGCCAACTTATGTTTGACGAGTGATTTAAGTCTATAAAAGCTTTTTTAAGACTCGCAATAGGATAAAACATCATTAAGTGAAGTATTGCGGTTGAGGAGTAACAAGTCTCAGCGTTAATAGCGACAATTTTCTATCAAATATTTCTCGTTTAATTATTCGAAACCCGACGTATCGCGAATCTGTATTCAGAGCCAAGTAAAATTGCAGCCATGCCAAACAACGATTAAAAAAAACTATATATATACATATATATTTTTTTTACTCTTAGCCATTATCGAGTCCGTTACTTAAAGAAATATTTTTTAGTTCAAGCCATAAAGCATTTAACTCAAGATTTTTCCGGTGTATATCGCTGTGACCTCAAGCCCATCGGTTCTAGTCAGCGTGACATAAGCGCAAAGTGCTGTCGCTTATTGTAGGAGGTCTTCATCTGGTTTCGTGAACGAAACGCTTTTTACACGTTCCGAAAATGTAAAAGATTTGTCCGTTCTGTATAATTTTTAACGGAGTCTAGTGAGCAGCACAAAAGAAGACTTCTCGCTGTTGTAACTTTTTGTTTATTTCTTCCGACGCGTTTCGTCTCTAGCTGAGACTTCTTCAGAGATGATTACAACTAACATCAAACAGCATATATAGTGCATTCGTGTGCCTAAGTTTCATTTCCAAAGGAAGTGAAAAATAACAGAAAAATGCTGTAAACCGAAGTTACAAGAAACGCCTTGTTATGAGCGTTACACTCAAGCGTTGTTTCTCTTTTGCGGCCGGAAATCATAATGAAATCAATCTTGTCCGCAAGGTTACTCGTTTAAAAAATGTGCTACTGTCAGCTGAGTGAACAGAAAATTACTCACGCTCGTTTACCGTGAAATAAAACAAGCCGAAAGCCCGAGAGAGGAAACCTTTAAAGCACACCCACAGTATAAAACGCAGTGTCTTGGTCGAAACAGCGAACCGAGTCAGCGACACAAAGTCCGCAGTTCCTTCTACTCAAGCGTCTCCTTCTCCTGGATGCTGCACAATGCATCTGGGTTCTGCTTGCAGCTATTCCTCCGTAACAGCCTCCAAATTATTTTTCACTACATCTACTTATTGACAGCAGATGTTTTCTTCCTTCCTCTACATTGATTGGCAATTTCCTTACTGACACCTTGTAAGAAAAGATCAGTGCAGTAGCAATTTTTATCGCAATGTTGAATAGAAGATATAGAGAACACAAGTTGTATGATTGGTTTCACCAAAATGAACAGTTATCAGCCCTGTAACTGTCACAAACCTTAGAGATAACTCAGACTTTAGGTTATAAACAAGGTGCAATGACCACAAAAGGGGAAAACTAACTTAACAATAAGTTAATATCAAGAGGATGTTAATTTCTACATGAATGAATGCTACTTTTTGCTGTATTGTGTTTCACAGTAAAAGCTGAGAAATCTTTCATCGTTCGCCAAATTCAGTTCATGAAAACATTAAACCAATACAAACGCGTTGAAACAAGTATAATTTGGAAAAATACTCTCAAAAATGAATCCGTCCAATGTACCTCCACAAACGTGTATGTTTATATTTTCACAGTCTGTGAAACCAAAGCTTCGGAAGGTGTATGCGAGTAGCACAAAAACACGTAGCTTCCGTGGAATTCAAGAGTCGGCACATTTGGTTTTCTTTACTTGATCGCTCCTATATTTGATTAGTGAATGATTTTCAGATACTTCATTTACAAGCGTAATACACTCACCGTTCGTCGCTTTCTTGATTGAGGCGGCGCGGTGCACGGGCTCTTGGTCCTCTTCTGACTCTCGCATCCTATTTACGGTTCGTCCTGGCGGTTCAAGTCGCTAAGGCCTGATTTAACCAACAGGCTCATAAGCCCTATCATTACTTGCACCTTCCATTGAGGCCTCAAAATCCGAATACTCAAACCCCGAAATCGAACCGCACTTGCTCGAACTACTATCCACCATATTTACTTTGATTAGGTTGTTAGTGTACACACGTGTGACGTATCAGGTCACATGATAAAATCCGAAGCGTTTATGGCGGATGACTCACGAAGCTGCATTTAAAACAGTTTTCCGAGCGAAAAAAGGCACAAAGAGGCGTTCGAGGCACCTTGTGTCTGTTTTAATGTGTTACCTGAGATATTTCGACAGGATTCCGAAAAAGTGACTTTTCAGTCGGAAGCTATTACGCGTGATTCAAGTACACGAACTTGAGTCACGCGAACGAGTTATGACGGAAGAAATACACATTGCCGGCTCTACTGCTCTTGGAGCATTTGTCGTAGATATCAATTTCATCTGGTTGTGTTTACTTAGCTGGGCCTATCTTGTTCTCGTGAATATACTTGCCCACAAGCGATTACAACGAATCCATCCATCCCGCACGTTACAGCGCATGAATGTAAAGAGGAAGAGGAATGCATTCTTAAACATGTGGAATTACTTTAACATTGCCGTCCTTTGGTTGGACATATCGGTGATAGCATATTGTTACGCCAGATCTGGAAATTGCGTCCTCATTTATGAATCCGAGACCTCGTATACGAACGGATCAGCAGTTTTAATAATTAACATAGCAATCTGCTATGTAGCTCAGATTTTCAATTTCTCCTTACATAAGGACGAATATATGAAAATCACCAATTTTTTGAGTACAGCTTTCCATGATGAAGTCTCGCGACTGATTTACCGAGATGTAGCCACTGTCAAATGGATGGCAAATTGTGGACACTGGAAATTCAACAGCAGTGGTTCTCGTGATTTCGTTTCAACTCATACTGAGGTATTTTATTTATTCTAACTTCGAACGAGAACCTTGTGATAGAATTCGGTTAGTATTAAAACAATTTTTGACCCTCGCCATTTGTAACGAAAAGATGAAAAACCTTATTTTCCCACTAGCGCTGCCAATGTGGTAAATTACTAGATCGATATAGATGACATGTTCTCTTGAAAGCAATTAGAATATCAACTGATTATGTCACGCTTCGTTGGTCTATTGCAAGTGGCTAAAAAATCGAAATTTTTAGATGAGTCATCTCCGTTTGGTCGGCCTTGATTGAAACTCCTGACACTTTCAAGACAAGCCGTTCTGCAGCCTTCAGTATTAAAGACAAAAATCTTCTCCCATTCAGTTATCTTTCCGCGACTACTCTTAGAATTGTTCAGATGATCGTTGAGCTCTTTGTATGGCGTGATTAGAAATTTGACCACACTTCTCTCTTTCCGTTTGATTACATTGACCTTAGAGCTAGCGCCGCTTAAATTTGATGGACTTTAAGCGCGAGCAGAACTTTCATCATGAAAGCTAAAATAATTATACGCTGAAATCTGAAATCGAACGAAACATCAAGATTTCTTAAGAGATCAAGAATGTGCTCAGCGTTTTACAATTGTTGAAGTCGAACCACAGTTTGATGCTAATTTTGGCGTTTGCAGATGACAATCTTCTCGAAGTTTTTGGATGGTCGTCCACCAGAAACATACAACAAAATAGTTTGCTATATTTTTGGGTCGAAATTTTTTGCGGTCGCGTAAGAGTTTTACGGATGGGCCGCTTAACTTGAAAACGTTTTTGAATCAATATTGGAGTAGAAAGACGGTTATTCATAAGTTAATCGGGCAAAGATCACCGCAAAATGCAAAACCTTAAGCCTTCTTAATACTTCTGTAAATATCTTTGTCAGCGTGTGGACTGTTCCGCTTGAAACCAACCATTTTTGATGACTCATTTTCAAGGGTGGTGGTAAGAGCTTTAGCGTTAAGGCTAAATGAATCTGGTGAAATGACCAGATACTCTATCAATATCAATTATTGTAATAGATGGTCAAGTTTTGAGTGAGTTTAGTTGTACAAAATTATTGACTTTATTAAGTGAAGGCTTTTACTTTATGTTGTCTCCTTTCAGGAAAAATCCCGCAGGTATCATAATTACAAGATCACTGCAGTATGGAAAGAATGTGCTTTCAGATTCCACCAGGTGGAAATCAACGATCTCCTCGAGGCCCGTGTATTTCGACTCAAAATAACTGTTTATGTACGTCCTGGAAACCAGGTAATCGAAAAAGCTTTCCCAAATTTACCAGCATGATAATCTTTCCTTATAATCGTGTCCATCATTATCACTGTGACCTAATTCCTTCATCTCTAATCTCCAAGCCCACTGGAATCATTACCAAACTAAACTAATGATACTGCCAACACCGCCATCACTACGATTAACACCACAATTAAAACCTCCACCATCATAACCTTATTATCACTTATTTTCGCGCCACTTTAATTTCGCGAATTTGGAATGAAAATATTTCGCAGGATTTAAAATTCGCGATTTTGACGAATCACCGTTTTTCAAGATAATTACATTTCGCCAATCGAGTAACTGGTGCTCGTTTTTTAATCTTCCATTCCTGTATTTTATTTAACAATAAAGGAATATAAACCTCAAACGCCAGCCTCAAATGTCAGCAACTTAGTAACATCTTTTAAAAGTACACTGATACAGGCAACCGAGATACAATTTTACTCGATGGCACTGCCAAGTAGCTTTTAGAAAAGGATCGCCTCAATGTTTTCGAATGGATCTTCAGGCGATAAGGTTGCCTTCCCTTGAACAAGTTCGGATATTCCGGCTTTGCTCCATCCTTTTGCAATGTGCCGCTTTTCCACACTGCCTGTCAAGTGGTTGTAAAGGCTCACCAGCCAGGTGGCATGTAACGGCTTTAGCACAGAGAGCCTTAAATCGACCTCAATCTCGTCAGTGCTGTTCCCTGACTCCATTTGTTTCTGAACTTCGGCGGAATACCAAGTTGTAAACGTATCCTTCATAAAACACTTTGCCTCTCCATTCACAGTTAAATCCAGGGGCTGGAAAAAATGTCACATACCGGCAGGTACTGACACAACCTCGGTATTCAAGGTTGCCAACTTCGACAAAACTTTGTCGGTCTTTTACCCTTGAAAACACCCCAGATAAGTAGCGCCTTCTGTGTTGGTTGCGGCTTAAACTCTTTCCTTGTGGTCTCAACATACGGCTTGATTATCTCATCTATCAGAAAAAGAGTTTCCTGCTCGTTCAAGTACTGATATGGATTCTGCGAAATTGCAAATCCATTTGGAAATTTAAATCCCCTTGGCTGGCTGGCATCGGTTTTCCCCTGGTAAATGATCTGCATCGGCAAAAAAGAGCCAGACAACGAAATAACGAAAGTTAAAGTAATATTCCTCTTGTCGGTTAGGCCTTTTATGGGCACCGCAGAAGAATTGCACGTGGCCATTGTCATTCTTCTAACTGAAACGTAAGAGCAAGGAGTTTGATCAGCGTTAATTACCAGTTCAGGGGGAATGTTATGTTGTGTGATGGCCCTGTTGATATCTGTGAGATAAGTAAGCTTGCATTCTTCATAAATCCCACGTGGTACTGGCGGGCGGGTGGTGGTTCCTGCTCGGCGTGAGAAATTGCACCGCTTATAAATAGACCTAACCCAGGGTGCCGTAGCCTCAAATCCTGAAAAATTTGCAGATGAATTACTATTAACCAGTGACAAAGCAGAAGCTTTTACCACAGAGAAATTTAATACGCCCCCTCGGCTTCTTATACTATGAAGGAGGGAAATTAATTTGCCGTCCAGTTCACGAAGTGTTGGTGGCCGGCCGGCCACTTGTGTCGTGTAGTATGGAGAGAACTTTGGCTGCTTCATTTCCCTCCTTTTTTTCCTCTTTTAGTTTCTTCTGGTAGGCCTGCTTGAAGGTCCGGACTGTGCCCTCTTTCAAATTGGGGATTTCTGCCTTGAAGTGTTTGATTGCCGTGGAATTGCCATTTTCACTTGCATACTTGAAGTGTGGAAGCCCCATTGTTGGTGAGGTTTTGAGGTGCTGCCACGAAAGAAAAAATCCTTTTGATCGCTATGCTATAGCCGCGATGAAGCGACTCCCTGGACGGCTCGCCGACTGCACCATTGGTCATTTACCAAGGGCGATTTCTAGAATAAATCGCTTTTTTCTCTTGAGGGGAGGTGTTGTCAGTGTCGAAATTGTGGACAAAAACCCCCGAATATCGCCAATTGTACAAGGGGGGCTGGAAATTCCAGTGAAATTGATGGCGGAGATCGACGCTTCCGAAAAGAATGAAGCCATCATGAAGAGGCTCAAGCAGCTGATTACAGACAACTATAAGGAGCCAGATGTCGACGGCAAATTTGAAGACTGTACCGAGGAAGTGTTACAGGAACTAATTCAGCAAGATGAGTCAGATGATGAGGAACAAGGGCATGCGTTGAACTGAAATTTGAGCCATCTACTAGTGTGTGAAATCCTAAAAGACGGAAAGCTTAAATAAAATATTTTATAAAGTTCTCTAAATTTCGCGGCACGTTTTTTTCGCGGGATTTTAATTTTGCGAATTTTTTTAAATCGCGGAAATCGCGAAAATTAAGTCTCGCGAAAAAAAGTGATAATAAGGTACCTTACGTCCCTTAAGATGATGAGTCTGATGAGGTAATCATTTCATGACGCGATGGAAAACACCCTCCAACCGCTATGATACATATAGCGTAGGTTTACATCAGTAATGGTGAGTCCTTTTTTTTTAAGTTTGACGTCATGTAGTCACGGTACATTCAGATCAAATATTTATATTTCCAGGACACTAACTTAGAGTGGCAGATTGACTTTCAATCATTGCAAGAAGAGCACAGGGCTGGGAGACATGATACGGCGGCAATTTTTGAGGAGATCACAAAGACCTCGACGCATTATCTCTTTAGTAACGTCCGCTCAGAGGTATTTCAACATTTAATACTTTATGATGCGATGTGAAGTTTTTTTTTTATCAAATATTATTCGGCCAATTATCATTTAGTCTTTAACAAAGGAAATTAAACCTAATCTGTCTGTAAATCGACTCTTTTCTTTTTCCTTATTCTGGTGACGTTTTTTGAGTGATTACATCACATAGTTTTTTCTAACTTTTAGCCTTCGAAATGTCTCATTTTTCACTGGAAAACTACAACAATAAATAATCTTCTCTCACAATGTTGGTTTTTTTTTGTGGAAAGGCAGTCATGATGAGCTCTTTTTTGAGTAACCACCTTTGGAAAAGGAGTTCAGGAAAGTGGTTTCTTAGGAAGAAAAATCAAAACAGGAAGTAGATTCACCTGTTATAACTACATTGCCACCCCAGTTAAAATAGGGAAAATATGCACTTCATTTTTACATGGAACTTGTACTACTCGCATATCCATTTTTGTGAAACATGCACGTCTGAAGTCGAAAAAAAACATCAAGATTTCGTATACGATCCATAATGTGTTAAGCTATGAGTTTTGAATAGATTAACAAGTAATTTTGTGTTTGGAGATAACAACCCATCTGAATCTTGCGGCCCACTTAGAGAAAAATATAGAATAGTTTGCTGTAGTTTTGAGGGGCAAAATTTGTTGCGGTCGCTAAAGATGTTAAGGATTGGTCACTTAATTTGAGAAAGTTTTTTAATCAAGGTTGGGTGTAAGAAACAAGACGGTTACTTTTAAATTGGTTGCACAAAGAAATTGGTGGCCAGATAAAATGAGAGAGAGTTTTATGTGAACCAAAGGCCTTTGTTGGTGTACCAAGTTTGAATAGTGGAGGCAAAAGAAGGGAATTAACGAAAATGAGTTCGGTCATTCAGGTGTAATTTTAAAGTCATGAATTGCCGGCCGCTAATGCGTCAGACATAGTTGAATAACATTATAGAGCTAAGGGAATGCATATCATCACAGAAAAAACTGGGAGGGTCTTGACTCCAATAATTGGGGATAAGAATGATCGTGGAGTCTGATCGCCTGGTAGAAAAGGAACTTCATCGGTTACAGTAACCGAAGTTTCGAAAAGCTAAGTGGCATTCATCGTCAAAGTTATTCAAATAACTCTGATGATGGCTTCCACTTCGGTTGTAGATACCTTCATCACCGTGACCGCCATAAGTCCTTTTCGTCGGGGACTACCCTTATCTAAATGATTAGAAGACACAACTTGACTGCTGGGTTCAAACATCATATGTGATCGCAATTTCAGCGGACGATACTCCCTGGGTCTATGATTTGTGTCCTCCTGGGTGTAGAACCTGTTTACAGACTCCTGCTATCCTTCCTGTTGCCAGAGGAACATTATATCATAGAGAAAAATGTCTTCTCCACTGAAGCAGATGCGGCCGCAGGCCCATTGCAGCTTGATTTCGCCTCGGCACCAGACAAAATGGATGCCTATCCAACGACGACAAGTTGGCTAGTGATTCCCTGGAAGCATGTGTTCCCCTCTGAGACAGAAGATGAGGCTGTAGACCTTTTGCAGTTTGATTTCGCCTCGGCACCAGAAAAAATGGATGCCAACCCAACGACGACAAGTTGGATAGTGGTTCCAGAGTAGTATGTGTTCCCCTCTCAGACAGAAGATGGGGCTGTAGACCCTTTTGCAGCTTGATTTCGCCTCGGCACCAGACAAAATGGATGCCAACCCAACGACGACAAGTTGGATAGTGGTTCCAGAGTAGAATGTGTTCCCTTCTCAGACAGAAGATGGGGCTGTAGACCTTTTGCAGCTTGATTTCGCCCCGGCAGCAGACAAAATGGATGCCTACTCAACGACGATAGAACTATGTTAATCGCATTCCAGTTTTGTTTTCATCCCCTGTTCGCAGATCATGATCTTTTTAATAGATCATGATCTTGGAATAGTTTAAAAAGTGTTTGTTGCGTTTACTTCCTGGCTGCTATGTATATAACCGTATTTACCCGTATATAATACGCGCCTATGTATAATACGTACCCCAATTTTTGACCATATTTCAAGTTTTCTCAGCAAAAATAGAGTAAAAAAGTATCTATCCAGGCCATCTATTCCATCTATCAGTGACAACTAGAATAACAAGAAAATGTTTTACCCTTGAAGGCTTTCAGACCATCAAACACGGGCCAAAGAGCTCCAAGATTTTGAGTGCACTGTTGCCAGTATTGCAACTGTTTGCAGCTAGGTTCTTAGAGCTATCACTGATCTATTCATAAAAATTACAATTTCCTAGATTGTGATTGGTTTGAATAACTCCTATAATCACTAATGTACTGGCCAAGCTGTTAACGGACAGTTTGTTATCGGACAATCTAATAAGTCAATCACATTCAGTTTAAATCAACCAATCAGAACCTTAGTTTCAATCACCATAGAAACAGTGTACAGACTCCTAAATTACCTCTTTTGTCGGTCTTTTACTGCAAAATTTCTCTTTCTTTCATAAATAGGCTATTCTTCTTTTCTCGGATAGTGTAATTTTTATGATTAATGGGTAATAAGCCCTCATTTCGTCCAATTCGATCTGTAATCATACTCGTGATAAACAAATCGGACTCCCGCTGCTTGGTTCTCTGATTTCGTCATCACTCGTATGATTACAGGCTGAATTGGACTCCACTCAGTCCTATTACCATTACTCATTTAAATACATTATTAGTTCCTTTTTGTATAATTTCTTCTCTAAAAAATGATTTGAATACCTTGGTCTCAATAAATAAACACAATTTTCCTTATGACTGTTTTTTAAATCCCCGTTAATATTTTTTTGTGAGCATAATGAACAAAGCCCTCTTGCCTCTTGTCTCTCAGAAAAAAAATGAACCCTAAACCTTGGTTTCTGTGAATTTAGTGTATGGTAGACTTGCCTATTATGAAAAAATGATGGCTCTACCTAGTTAAAAACCGCTGTACCACAAATGAAACTCATTCGAGACCGAACTACGATTAAGGAGTAGCAAGCTTCGGCAGAAATAAAAACAATTTTCTATTTAATATTTCTTGTTCAATGGTCTAAAAAATTAATACCTTGTAACCTGCAGTGTATTTGGGATGTGTTGAGTGGTACCCGGAACTCATTAAGTAATGGACTCCTGAAGGAAGATAAGACACCATTGTCCTTTATTTCGAAAGAACTTTTTAATTACACGTTAAAGAATTCAATATTTTTAATTTGAGTAACAATTAATTTATTTTAGTGAAAATTTCTGACTGCCGGGCATTTAGTCTATTATTAATCGTACTAATTCTAAGAGTTGACGACCGAGCGCTATTATAATATGCAAAAGCTAGGAGAGTTTGTCCACCAGGAAAGCAAAATGATTTCATCGGGTTTACTGGTCAGCGGAAAACTAGGGTGGCGGACTTGACGCACGAAGAGCACGAGCTACATAGAAATGGAGTTTTACTTTTCCAAATATTTTTTTAACTTATTGTAATCAAATTTCATTGGTACGTTCTGGTGTTCCGGCGTTCCTGATTTTAGCGCATGCCGATATCACACAAAAGACAGCCGGGAGCTATTACGCTTGAGTAATGTACACGAACATGATTACATCGGACCTAGAAGGAATACATATTGCAGACTCTATTGCACTTGCAACGTTCTTAATTCTGTGACTATGACCATTAAATTAAAGGAGCGTATCAGTTTTGGGGGAAGCTTTTACTTTTTACTCTGAATCTACCATATATTATTATTACTATTACTTTATTTTTAGTATTATAGTATTCCACCAGCCACAGTCGAAGCACAACAGGAGAGAGGAATGTAATGAAGTGCCGGTCTTTGGAGTAAATGTCTTTTTCGGACCTCTTGTTTAATAACTAGTCATGCAACAACAACAAAGTTCTACTCTGCTAGATACCTTATTTTCACTCCTTATTAAGTGGTTGCGTAGTACTACTAAGAGGATAAACCTAGAAACTTTGCCTTAAAGGAGAAAGGTTGTGAGACATTTTTACTGAACTTTTATGTTCCAGAACTTTATTGCATGAAATGATATATGAAAGCATATCAGTGTGAAGAGGCAACGGTAAACAAAGACGGTCAAGGTTAGTGAAAATTAACAAAATGTTCACAAACTGTGACGTAAATCCTTTCAAGATAAATCAACTTTGTTGGCTAATTATTAAAACCTCGTCAAGTAGAAGATTACGCACATTCTTGCTTGAATTGAAACTGTGGGATAAAATGTAGTTGAATTTCGAAACTTCAAAACTCATTGTAAAAAAGAGCAGCTCAACAACACTTTAGAGAATAGGTCTCTTGAACTTCAGAAATTATTTCGACTTCAGTAGCGACCTGTACGCGAAGGTCTATTGTATTAACGTTAAAGTGAAACTAGTAAAATTAGGATATTCCTCAATTCACATTCCTCAGTCTTAAAATCTCGCGTTCGGTGCGATGAAAGCCTTGCTATTAAAATTCTATGAAACTCAGAGGAGCGTTTTGTTGTTGTTCCAGAAGGAGAGACACCTAATTTACGGGTTTAAAAATTCGTGCTTAGAACAAAAGCTGTTCATTGTCGTTATATTCTTTATTTGTAGAAAGCCGAAATAACTTAACGCTAGATCAGCCTTTTATCAATCAAGTGAAAAACATCACGAGCTTTGAAATCTCATAATAAAAAATCGACGTTGAAGAAAATGTTTTTATCTTAAAGATAGACGTTATACGAGAGAATATTCTCTATCTTAAAGATGATTAAGATAATTGATTTTTGGGAATTGCTCGTTTGGAACTCACTTCAACACCGAAATTCGCTTTATAAAAAACCTTTGATGTAGGCGATTACTGAATAACATAACTCTTTTTATGCATGTTACCGCCTTTATATTACAAATATTCAATAAACATTCGACTGACTTTTTCTAAAAAAAAAAACTTTTGGTTCAGAAAGAAAAACGGCTACGAAGAAGGTATATGTAATAGTTGAGAAAAAAGAGTAAGTACTAGTCATGATGGAGAGGATTATTATGGGTTGGAAACAACTAACTTTGGCTATAAAGATTACTATGGCAGCAATACGGCTTCTTGGAGGTAAGCTTGATTGTAGCCTTACTTGTCTTTAACTGAGGAATGAGTTGAACGACTCCCATCTCTAAAACTGAGCTTCAATAAGTATATTTAGTAAATAAATCCCCTCAGGCGGCTGGTATGTCGGCTGATAATGTTTGTGGACGAGAGATTGTTCGGAAAATGAATATTTGGCCGAGAAGCAAAGGTTGGAAATTTTGAGGACATTCTCTCAGTCAAGGATATTGTCAACCGACATATCAGCAAGCCAGAAAGGGTTTGTTTATCTAATATCCCTCCCATTAGTTTTCATATCGCACCAAAACCACTTACATAAAAGACAATGCTTATCTGATAGCGGAAGCGTATTTGCGATCAGCTTTTTATAATCAATAGTATCACTAAACTCTACAAAACGACCTTGCTTTTCCTTCGTTTAAAATAATGGATGAAACTTTTTAGCTGATTTTGTTTCTTTTCGACGAAAACAAACGGGTGTTAGATTACTAGAAAAAAAAGGACAAACACATCGAGCACCCGTGATTAATAACTTCATTCGTACTGTCAAACTGTTATAAGTATTAATATTTAGCGAGAAAGATGAAGTTATTCATTAAACATTTAACAGGTAAAAATGCTTTTAACACCGTTATTATTACTAACGCCAATGGTCGGTTTCAAATATAAACAGGAAGTAAACAAAACAATGAATTTCTATTATACATATGTATCTTAACTATAAAAAAAAAAAAATGAAGCAGCTCGTTTCACTGAGCGATCTACTCTTTCTGGATTGAAATCAACACTTGGATTGGATGTGTACAAGTAAATACAGGAACAAAACATCACTTGCAAAAGTAATGTTTTTTTTGCTTGTTAACATTCTTTAAGCTCCCGCTATGTTCGTGTCTATATCTTTTGCGGTCAAAAACCTTATGGAACCTCCTGAAATTAGGAGCAAAAAGTGCACTTCAACCCACTTTCAGTGATCCAAGGTGTGCCTATGGGGAGAGCAAAAAGGACATTAAAGGGCTTGTTGAGGAAGCAATTTTTGAAAATACTCTAAGATGGTTTTATCGTACTTAATTATTCTGGCGATGATCGTAGTTTTTCATTTGATTAGTCATCTTAACGTGTTCATGCATTCGCGTAAGAGTCAAACATGTTGAACTCATCTATCTCGCCATCTTTCATGACCAAAATCAAGTCACAAAGCTTGGAAATTATGAGGACATTCTCTCAGTCAAGGATATTATCAACCGACATATCAGCAAGCCAGAAAGGATTTTATTTATCTAATATCCCTCCCATAAGTTTTCATATCGCACGAAAACCACTTACATAAAAGACGATGCCTATCTGATAGCAGAAGCGTATTTGCGATCAGCTTTTCATAATCACCAGAGTCACTAAACTCTACAAAACGAC